CGCTCGGGCCGGCCTGCGCGCGACCCGGCCGCGCCCCCGGCGCTGCAAACCCCGCCCCGCAGGGCCCTGGCACCGCCCCCTGATTCCAACCCCACCCAGGGGTCCTCACCTCTCCCCTGCTCCCAAGGATCCAAGCCTCTCTTCCCCCTTCCCCATGAAGACCCTGACCCAGTCCCCACGAAGGACAGAACCACGTCCCCAAGGATTTTAATCCAGTCTTCTTCCCCCTTCCTCCCTTTCATCTCCCCTCCTCCCCCTTCTCCTCTCCCTTCTTTCCCTCCCTGTCCTGTGAACGCTCCCCCCCAGTGCATTCTCATCCTGCCTAATTTCCTAACCTGGCGTTAAGGATTCAAGAACCCCAACACCCGGATCCACTTAATCCTGACCCCAAAGGATTTTTTTTTGGGGGGGTCTGGTCGTGGGGCCTGACTCGGCCTGGGCGCTGTCCCTCAGCTCTTCAGCTCAAGGCTAGTGCTCTACCACTTGAGCCACAGCGCCACTTCCGGCTTTTTTCTTATGTGGTGCTGAGTAATCGAACCCAGGGCCTCGAGCATGCAAGGCAAGTGCTCTACCACTGAGCCACCTTCCCAGCCCCCCCCCCAAAAAAAAGGATTTTTAATCTCACATCTGGAATGTTTAGTTTTCTTTGATTCTTTGGCCATCCTGGGACTTGAACTTTGAGCCTGGGCACTGTCCCTGAGCTCCTTTTTGCTCAAGGCTAGTGCTCTACCACTTGAGCCACAGCACCACTTCTGGCTTTTTCTGTGATTAATTGGAGATAAGAGTCTCATGGACTTTCTTGCTCCAGAAGGCTTCGAACCTCCATCCTCAGCCGCCTCAGATCTCAGCCGCCTGAGTAGCTAGGATTACAGGTGTGAGCCAAGGGCACCCACTCCCCCATGGATTCTAATGCAGGATTTGTAACCCCGACCCCAGGATTCTAACATCATCTCTCCCCAGCTCCCCCTCTCTCAAGTGACTTTAATTTTTTAGAATTCTGTCTGCCTGTCTGTCTCTCTCTCGCTCTCTCTCTCTCTCTCTGTGGTGGCCGGGGGATGGAGCTCAGTGCTTCCCATATGCTCAACCATGCTCTATCCCCCATCCCCTAATCTCCCACCTCCAAAACTTCCATCCCAGTCAGGGATTCTAATCCATCCATCAAGATTCTGGCCCAGCTGGGGAAGGAGCTTTCACCCTGCTCTCTCCTGAAGATTCTAAGCCTCTCCTCAAGCATTCAGACCCATTCTCCCAACCTTCCTGCTCCTTCTTTCCCTCCCCCTCCCCCTTCCCTAGCCATCTGCCTTTCTGTGGCCAGCGGCTTCCCCTCTCGGACCAGCTCTATTCAAATGATATTCAAAACCCCTGACCGCAGGAACCTCCTGGTTATAGCTTATTCCCACAGGATTCATGACCCCACAGAGGCCCTCCCAAGTTGAAGAGGGCAGAAGTCCATCTGGAGGGTGTCTGAGACCCTACATGGATGGGTTCTGCCCAGCACCGCACAAGAGCACAGCCACAGCCACTGGAAAAGACAGAGACTAAAGCTAGCATGGTGGAGTGTACTTATAGTATGATATCTGGGGAGGCTGAGACAAGAGATTGGGGAACTCCAGGTCAGCAGGAGCTGCAGAGCGTGGGAGGAGGAGGAGAGGAGGTGGGAGGAGGGGGGACTATTGCCCAAAATTCCATGGCACACACAGTTCCAGAACATGCAGAAACCCTTCTACATCTGCTCCCATTATTCCCACTGTTCCAGCCCCCATTCTCCCTCATGTTCACTTCCTCATTCATTCATTCATTCATTCATTTATCCATTTATTCATCCAGCAACACTCCTAGGGGCCAGGATTTCCAGGGTCTCCCAATTTTGGCCCTGGTGACATTTAGGCCACACCATTCTTTGCTGTGGTGGTTTGGCCTGTGCATGGTAGCTTGCTAATAGCAAATCATATGATAGGTTTCTTTTTATCTCATATACTCATATATTGTGTTCAAGATGTTCCATACTTTTATATACTCCAGCAGTCTATTCCTTTGCACTGCTGAGAAGTATTCCAGAGCACAGACCGATGTTTGTCCATCAGCTTGTTGGTAGCATTTTAGTGGCTGTTGAGTTTCGTTATGTCAGTAAAGTGCAGGAACATCCATGTGCAAGTGTTTGTGTGCTCATGTTTTCATTTTTTCTTGGCTAAGTACTTAGGACTGGAAATGCTGGGTCAAAAGATGAAAGTAGGGGGCTGGGAAGGTGGCTCAGTGTTAGAGGGCCTGCTTTGCATGCATGAGGACTTGGGTTCGATTCCTTAGCACCACATAAGCAGAAAAAGCTGGAAGTGGCCCTGTGGCTCAAGTGATAGGGCACTAGCCTTGAGCTGAAGAGCTGAGGGACAGCGCCCAGGCCCAGAGTTTAGGCACCATGATGGATCTCCCCCCCCAAAAAAAAATGATTGTAGATGCAACTTCTTCATAAACTACGAGGTTAGTTTTTTTTGAAAATACTGTACAGAGGGGTTATAATTACATGGGCAAGATAATGAGCACATTTCTTATCAAGCATTGTAGCCTCCTGCTTTGTTTCCCCTTCCCATCCCTTCGCATCCTCCCCCATCCCCCGCCACCAAAGTTGTAAAGTTCGTTTTTCGACATAACGACTTGTGCATCTCATTGTTGCAATGGGTCGAGGTTAGTTTTTAAAGTGACTTTACCCCTTGGTGTTTCTGTCAATGATATATGATTTCCAGTTGCTCCACACGCTCACCAACATTTCATATCATGATTCTTATTCACTTTCTTTTTCCCATCTAGTTTGCTGGCTCACACCTGTAATCTTAGCTACTCTGTGAGAGTCTCATCTCCACTTAACCACCAAAAAGCCAGAAGTGGAGCTGAGGCTCAAGTGGTAAAGCACTAACCCTGAGTGACAAAGCTCAGGGACAGATCCCTGGCTCTGAGTTCCAGGCCCAGCATTAGCACATACACCCTAAGGAAGAAACAAAGAAAGAAAAAGAAAACAAGCACAAAACCAGACTCTTCATGAACAAGAACAGGATGGATGCCGGCAGGATTTTTCAAGGATGTCAAGGTAAGAAAGGCACCCTGGGTGTGCACATGGCAGTGGGGCAGGGTGGAGAAGTGATGGCAGAGGTGACTGCACACTGCCCCACGTCAGCTTGGACTGAGCCGTCCTGTGCCCTCTGTCTCACCTGCTAAGCAGCATAAAGTAGTTGTTTTCACTTACATCATCTCATTTATCTCTAATAAATACAGATAGTTGTAAATGGATGGTTCATAGAGGCAAAACACCTGCCTAGGACGGAATATGCTGGCTCATTTCTGTAATCCCAGCTACTCAAGAGGCAGAGATCAGGTAGACTGAAGTGGTTCAAGGACAGCCTGGGAATAATGTTAGTGAGACTTCATCACAACAAAAGAAGCCCAAGCTGGTGTTTTGCTCCTGTTATCCCAGCTAAGTGAGAGGCCATAGATAGGAGGATCACAGTTCAAGGCTACCCAGGCAAAACGTGATCTTACTGAAAAACAAACAAACAACCAACCACTAAAACAGAAAGAGATGGAAGTGTGGCTTAAATAGTCCAGCTCCTGCCTAGCAAGCAGGAGGCCCTTGAGTTCAAACCCCAATACCCCTTGTCTGATATATAATATATATATATATATATACACACACACACACATATATATATATATATATATATATATATATATATTTTTTTTTTCCAGTCATGGGGCCTGAACTCTGGGCCTGGGCACTATCCCTCAGCTCTTCAGCTCAAGGCTAGCACTCTACCACTTGAACCATACACCACTTCTAGCTTTTTCTGCTTATACGGTGCTGAGGAATTGAACCCAGGGCCTCATGCATGCAAGGCAAGCACTCTATCACTGAGCCACCTTCCCAGCCCATTGTAGCTAGAAAATAGTGGAGCTGGGACTCAAGTCCATGTGGGCATGCCTGCGGTGGGTCTCTGGAAGCTGTGCTCTAGACCAAAGTCAGACTTGAGCTGGCTCAGCCTGGGGAGAGGGCCGGAGCTAGGAAACAATGCAAGCTTCACCTGTCAGCCTCATTCCAAAACAGATTTTCCTATTTCTAGTAGCATTTGCATGCCATATTTTAAATTCCTTGGGACTGCTGCTGATTACTCTATATTCAAAACAAGCTGAAGTGGGGCAGTGGGGGGTTCAGTCATTACTTCAGGGTTCAATATTTCTCCTTTTATTTGCAAAGCAGGACGTCCTCCCAGACAGGTTGTGATGTCCCTCCCTTTCTAAGACAGCAAGGGAAAATCTAGAAAGACAACGCCTGAGAACTCTCAGCAGCCCTCTTCCTAAAAAGCCCCCTCCAGCCCCCAACTCTGCCTTATTTTTCTGCAAAAAACTTGTCATTGTGGCTCACATCCTCATCTTTAATGTGTTACCTGTCTGTCTCTTTTGCAGGTTCCATGCAGGCCATGATTAGTCACGTGCCCATTGTACAGATGAAGAAACTGAAGCCCCAGGCTAAGAACAACCAATAAGTGCAAGCATTGAGATCCAAACTTTTCATTCTCTACTTTCTTCTCCTAC